CATCGATGTGAGAGGCACATCGATTTGCCGCCTCCCACACCTGCCCGAACTGGGGCCGGGGATCGAACCTGCAACCAAGGTACATGCCCTTTACCGAAATGGAACCCAAGATTCTTCAGTCCTCAGCCTGATGCTCTAACCGCTGAGCCAGACCAGCTAGGGCTACACTGGGAAGTCTTGAAGGGGTACCTTCACATCTTTTTTTTTTTTTTTTTCCTTAAAAAACAAACAAACAAAGAAACCCAAAAAACTCCAGTGTCTGTTCCAGTGCTCAGGGGTTTATGAGTGTGGAGGCTCTACCTTTGTGCTGCTGGCAGAGTCAGCGGACTGGTGAACGTCTGTAAAGACACGGCCCCTGGTTTTCCTTGGTGAGCTTACAAGTATTTTTAACTCCTATGATAGACCAGACTGAGATGTGAAAGATTTTTCACAGGCAAGCAATGGTGAGAGTCAAGTCAAAGCTACATGTCCTATGAGCCATGGTGATGAGTGAAAAATGTATTTGGAATTGAAATACTTGGTGACTTATAGACAGAAATACATCAGTCTCCTTCCTTTCCGTTTGCTAAACAAACATACCAATAAACCTCTTTAAAAATGTTTGTAGTTTAACTCAGTTCTATGATCAGGAAAGATTTTCGGAATCATCCAGGATAAATTTCTTATTTTAAAGTCAAGAACTGATTTGCTCCATGGAACAGAGGTGGAATAGGACCCAGGTCTCCTGGTGAGCAGGCCACACAGCCACTGAGGTGTAGTTTTGTTGGTTTTATTAGCTTGTTTGAGGCAAATGGTGTGTAGAGAGATGGCAGTGATTGAGGGAGGTTGCCCATCCCTCTGGGAGCTCTGGGTACAGGGCAATCGATGACTCTGTACATGAATCCTTTAACCTTTGGGTTTGTGTTGAAGTGGCTAGGTGTGCTCTGTTAGGGCTTGAGAATTTACTCAGTAGGATGAACCTATTCAATTCAGTTCCTTCCTGTCAGTTCATCCTTCATTTATACAAACCTGTTTGCCTTCTAGAGTTTTATTTCTTCTATCAAGATATGCAAGTGATTGGAGAGCTCCACCAACCTTGTTGTGCCTTCTCACTACTGATTTCATAAGCATCTAACATACAATAAATATTTAGCTCATTATGTTTTTGCATATCTAACACATGCCATACAAGTTCTTAAATTTTTGGTGTCACTAACCACATTAGGGATCCAATGGAAGTTACAGATCTTTTCCCCAGAAAAATTCCCACATGATGTACACACAGATTTTTCTGTATCTGGTGGAGGGGTGTTTATGGACTTCTGAAGTCTACTCTGGGCACCTCTGTGGAGAGGAGCTGATTAGGGACATGGAAGTGTTTTTGAGAAGAATTGAGGATCTAGCTAGACACCACCAATTAGTAGTGTCCCCAAGATTTCAGGTGATGAAGTTTTCCCTAGGTACACTCTCTTGCCTGGGTGCATGGGTGCAAGAAAGAAGATGGTGAAATTGATTTAGAGACAGGCATTGCCAGGTTGGGACAGTGGGAGACCATGTATATGAGTGTGTATAAATTCTGGTTGCTACTGGGAATGTGTTTGAAATAAATGAGTACTTAGAACTCAAGAGTAGCCAGGGAAGGCAGAGGAGGAATTTAAGAGGGGGTAAAAGGGCTTAGATACCCGAGAGGGAGGCAGAGAGGGGTTGCTGGTGGTTAGAGAATATTTGGTTGGAATTGAAAAAGGGAAGGGTAAAAAGCTAGGGAGTGGTGGTCACAAGGTAGGATTTCAGTGCAGTTCTGCAGGAAGGGAGCACTTCTGTGTGGTGACAGGGTTCAGGGTATGACTGTGAGTCTAGAGTGTCAGGTGTCATTTATGAATGCAGAAGCTGTCCAGGATGCATGCAAAAGGTAAGGGGAGAAGACTGTAAGCTGCATGACAAGATAACCAGTTAATCTGGGCAAGGGACCTCTTTGGCTTTGGAGGGTTTTAGAAAAGAAAGGTCTCTGACGTTGTCTTGCCTGGAAACTTCATTAATCTGAGGACATCTTTTCTACTTTGCTTTCTGTCTCCCACTCCCAAATAGGCACATGTTTGGGAGTCATACCTGCCTGTTTAGTGCCACTTATTACTGGGAACTCTAGCTCAATGCCTCAGCCTCCCCAGTTTAGGTCCTGTGGCCCAGTGGATGTTCACAAATCGTTTTTGCAGAACTCCCCATTGATTGTGCTAGTTTCCATCTGGAGCGTGGTTATAACACCACCTATCTCAACTGGGTATTCAGTGAGATAATGTGAAGACCGTGCCTGGCCCAGCACCTGTCTTATCAGAATTGCTCAATAACTCAGGTTTCTTTCTACCCAATGCCTTTTGTGCCCAGCACCTGTGGTTCAATACTGTCCCTTGTGCTTCCAACCTGGCTTTTTCATTTAACTGGTCCGTGTTCACTTTCTGGTACATTATACAAAGCAAAAACCACAAAAATGATATTGAACCCAGGTCTAGAGTTCCAAGGAATGAAATAAAAGGATTGTTATATGTTTTCATGCACTTTTCTATGTTAAAAATCAATGTTTAAAATAATAAATAAGCAACAAAAGAAAACAAAAATAAACTTTAGTAAGATTGAAACGATGTGGTGGAAACTACCGGATTCATTGCCTGGATTTTTATTAGTTAGCAGCCTGGTTTCATTTTTAGGACCAAGGAATTAAATGGGTCAACGAGGGGCTTTGAATTCTAGAATTTAGAGTTCCTGGCTTTGGGAAGAGAAAGAGATCACGGAAATCCAGGAGCCAAGATAGGCTTCTTACAACAAAATGCTTATAGGTGGGAGTGGACAAAGAAACTGTGACGTGGTCGGTTAGAATTTTCACACGTGGGAACCCACCCAGCCCACGAACGCCCGGCCTGGCTCCCAAAGTAACAGAATCCAAGTCTCCAGGCCAGATTTTCCCTCTAGCCATTCCCGGCCACGCAAAGCGGAGCTGCGAGCGCACAGAAAGGGATGTCTTCATCGCCTACCGGGATGGAACAGCCCCGCCGGCTCCGGGAGTGCTGAGAACCGAAGGGTCCCCCCACCGTCTCAGCCGCCAGCATGACTTGAGCGCCCCTATCCCGCGCGGTGCTGCTCTCCAGGCGCCCCCACCCTTTCC